TGCCTCGAGGGGGAACTCGGTGTCTCTGGGAAGCCTCCCTTCAAGGTCACGTTATCAAGTCCTGGACAAAGACGCTGGAGCTGTCTGCAGAAGACGCAGCTGAGGCCAAGATCCGTTCTCCCTCCTGAGGTCAGCCAGAAAGCAAGTTGGTGCTTTCTGAGTTCAAAAAGACAGGAAGATGCTGCAGGAGAGGGCAGAGTTTCCTGAGACGCTTCAGTTGACAGAGGGAAGTCCTCAACGTACGACCATTCGGGACCGATGACAATCCTCACACTTACGACCACATTCCTCCCCCACCCCAGTTGTGGGATCAAAACTGGGCCCTTGGCAAGCGGCACGCAGGCCCAACAGTGGCAGGGCCTCAGGGCCTCACATGCTTTGCGGCCTCCTCAGCTGGCTTCCCACAAGCAAATTCAAGGGGGGGAGCGGAATTCATTTGAATGACCGTGTGACTCGTTTAAAGACCTGAGGGATTCACTTCGCCGTGGCCAAATAGGTCCTAAAATCGAAGGGTGATGAACTTAAAAACCAGTTTGCTTACCAATGGAAAGTCTGACCCCAGTTGAGAGGGTCTCTAACATATTTAATATGTGAGACAGTCTGGTCTGGTGGTTAAGGCATCAGGCTAAAAACCAGGAGACTGGGAGTTCTAGTCCCACCTTAGCCATGAAACCAGGGGGATGACTTTGGGCCAGTCATTAGGAGACAGTGAATTGTAGTCCCACCTTAGACGTGAAAGCCAGCTGGGTGACTTTGGGCCAATCACCAGGAGACAGGGAGTTCTAGTCCCACCTTAGACATGAAATGTAGAGTTATAATTGCAGGAATGTTCCAATCTCAGATGGCAAACCTCAGATAAAGAATGTTTCCAAGCAAATACAACTCAGGCAAACAAAGTCACTAATCTAAAGGAGGATTAGGAAGTAAACATATGTTAGACTTTAACTAGAGATAATTAATTGTGTTAATTACTGTGCTAAACAGTAACGAAAGTTAAGCAGTAACCAAAGTTAACCAATGATGGAGGATAATTAAAAATGTGTATAAATGCAAGACTAGACTCCAATAAAGATCATCATGATTCAGTTGTTCATGATCAAACTACTCGACCGCCTCGTCATTACAACAATGAAAGCCAGCTGGGTGACTTTGGGCCAATCATTAGGAGACAGTGAATTGTAGTCCCACCTTAAACATGAAAGCCAGCTGGTGACTTTGGATCAATCTCCAGGAGGCGGTGAGTTCTAGTCCCATCTTAGACATGAAAGTTGGCTGGATGACTTTGGGCCAGTCACTCTCCTTCAATCTAACCCACCTAACCAGGTTGTTGATGTGAGGAAAATAGGAGGAGGAAGGTGTGTTGGATATGTTCACCGCCTTGAGTTATTTATTTAAAAACCATCATGGTAGGATAGAAATAAATTTCAAAACAATTTGACTTCCCTAACTGGGCCAGAGAAACTTAAGCATCCTTATGCTGTCTTATGTCTGTTTGCTGCGTCCAGTTCCAGGCAGCGTTTCCAAAGGAGCAACTCCTTTTAACCATGAACTTATCTTTAGGAGAGAACGCAATCACTCCGGCTCTTATCAGGTCATTTTATCTCCTGGCCAAGATTTACCTTTACCTTTCTGATGCCTACCTGCCCAGTTTTGGCTCCACGATTCGTGCTCCGGTTGGCCCAAGGCACTTGTGTTTCAGTGGCTTTAGCGAGAGATACCCTCCTGGGGTTGCAATTTTGGGTGGTTGAGCTAGCTAAAAAGTCAGGAAATTGGGGCAGGTACCTCTCTTAATTTTGAAAAAAAAAATTTATCTGATAAAGGAGGTGAAAGGTTTCACTTCTTTTCTGCTGGTGGCTTCATCAAGCCACCTTGGTGAAGGGGTACTCAGTGAATATTTGAGAGGCTGCCTCAAAGAAGACGGGGGTCAACCTGTTTTCCAAAGCACCAGAAAGCAAGACAAGAAACAACGGGTGGAAACTAACCAGGGAGAAAAGCAACCAAGGATGAAAGAGAACATTCATGATGGTTAGAACAATTCATCAGCGGAGCGACTTGCCTCCAAGTTGTGGGTAATCCAACACTGGAGGTTTTTAACAAGAGATTGGACAGCCATTTGTCTGACATTATACAGGGCTTCCTGTTTGAGCAGCAAACAGGACTAGAAGACCTCCAAAGTCCCTTCCGACTCTTGTGATTCTATTGTTTAGTTACCTCTAGATTGGGGTTTTTAAGGTGATCCGTCAGAACGTTTTTATCCAGCTCTCCTGTGAAGCAAAATTAAACCTGCAGGCAGTGATGTTCTGGGAGTTGGCCGTTTTTTGATCCGCTGCCGAGTTTCTCTTTGCGGTGAGTTAAATGGTTAACTAGGCAAACACGTTGAGCTTGGACAAAAAGACAATGGGGCATTTTAAGGCCTCTTCAACTCATTTTTCACTTACTACATGGGGGGAAGGATGGGGGGGCTTGGCTGCCCCCTCCCCAAAGAGAGGATTGAGGAAGAGAACTGGGGAACAAACAGGATGCAAACTGCAGAGAAACTAGCGGCAAAGTTTAAAGGCTCTGCAAAATTCTGTTCCCTTACGATGGAATAAGGCGGCGTTCTCTCTAAAAGGCGTTATCTAAATTTCACCGGCGTCAGCTTTCTAATTTTATTCCCAAATGTTGCTCTGGGGCAAGGGAAGGGAAGAGCAAACAAGTGGGTTGGACTAGATGACCTCTCAGCACTGTTGCACCCGTCCCTTTCATTCTATCGTTAAATCAATTTCACAGCCAAGGCTGCCCAGGTGAATTGCCCAAGACTACAATTCCCAGCATCCTTAGGGATAAAGCCACAGTAATCCACTTTCAAACTGGTTCTCTCCTCCAGTACATTAAAAAGGCCTAGAGGCTAAAACATATGAAGAGTGGTTGCAGGATTTGGGTCTGGCGAATCTAGCGAAAAGAAGGACTAGGGGTGACGCAATAGTAGTATACTAGTATTTAAGGGGCTGCCACAAAGAGGAGGGAGTCGATTTATTTTCCAAAGCACCAGAAGGCAGGACAAGAAAGAAAGAATGAAAGGAAACTGATGAAGGAGAGAAGCAACCCGAGAAACTTCCTAACAGTAAGGACAATTTATCAGAGGAACAACTTTCTTTCATAAGTTGGAGGTTTTTAAGAAAAGACTGGACAGCCCCTTGTCTGAAATGATGTTAGGGTCTCCTGCTTGACCCAAGGTCCCTTCCAGTTCTATTCTGAACTTAAAGCCCACCCATTTTAGAGTTGCCGAGGTGGGAGATACCTTAACGATGCCAAATGAACTAATCGACATGTATATGCTAGCTAAGGGAGCCCTTCCTGGTCAGCTCAAGATTCTTTCCAAATGTTGGCTTGTCTGAGTCACTCGAGGGAGAGAACAAGTACTGGCAGATTCAGAAGATCAGAAATGGTCTGAGCGGGGATTGTGTAAGATGAGCTAATTGTTTAGAACAGAAGAAACCAGGGGCTGAGACATTCCTTTCGGGTGTCAGGCTAAAGTATAGTTTACATAAAGTTTGTGCCGAAGGTTTGATTCCTTCCGCTGAATTACAGCAGAAATATTCCCAAATTCCTAATCGCTGACCGAGCTTCATCCGCCGGTTTTCTCTCTTCCACCTTGTAGATTCTGGGGCATTTTTATTTATTTTTTTCTACTCCAAAAATCAGGCCAGAGATATTTTTCAACAGTCATTTCACCTTCCCAAAAAAATGGAGAAAAAAGACTGATTTGACTCCAGCACCTAGACTGGTCTTTGACCCTCACAAAAGTTGATTGACAGGAACGCCCGGCTGTGTCTTAGTTGGGCGTAAGCAAAAACATTATATTCTGATTTATTTCCACACACACACACAAACACACTTGTTTCCACTTGGTGGGCAAGGTTGCCTCTTTTTTTTGTGGGCCTGAAAAGTTGGAAAAAGTTTATTTCCCACCCCCCTTTCCAAATTCCTATTGCAGTTTGTCTTTCTGGCTGGGAGTGTTCTTACCAAAGTCTTCTTTGAAGAATCTGAGTGAGTGTGTAACTTTAAGGAAAATTCTTTCTTGCTCTCTCTCCTTTTGTCCTCCTCCCCTTAACCCTTCCGCAGCCGGATGGAATTTGCACCCTTCTTTCTCTGTACTTTTCTGGTTTTTCCAAGGCAGCCACCCACCCCTTCCCCCCTTGCTCCCAAAATCAGCCGGCTATGCTAATCTTTCAGGTCTTTGCTGCTGCTATCGCACAAGGTTGCGGCTGTGCGTAGGAGTGTCTGTGTCGGAGAGTGAGAAAGACAGAGAGTAAAGAAAGGGAAGCAATCCCTTCCCCAATCTCATCTCTCCTCTCTCTCTCTCTCTCTCTCTCTCTCATTCACTCACTCTCACTGTCTTTTCGGAGAAGATGACTCTTTCCAGTAAGCCAGAAGTGAAGTCTCTTGAGTAAGCAACTTTATTGTAAGGTCTGAGTAGGCTCCTCTGGGCTCAGAAGCCGGAGCAGGAGGAACTCGAGACTGAACTGGAGAGAAGAATAAAAACCCAGCTCTTCTTCAGAATACCAGAAAAGCAGAGCTGGGAAGAAGAAAGAGGGATTTTTGCAGAGCCACAAATTGATGCAGGGGGTTTGAAAGGTGGGGGAGCCAAATTCTCTCTGGGAGAATCCCTAAAATTCCCCTCTTTTGTTGTTGTTCTTCTTTTTAAATGATACAGACAAACATTTTGAGCTGAGACTTTCGGCAAGGGTTTCAGGCACAAAGCGAGGACCACTCGATGATCCATCGCTCCCCTTGGCCTCTCGGGTGCTGACTTCACGGCGAACTTCGTCACTTGTTTTCTTGGACTGCAGTGATCATTTCTTCGGCCGCTTTTGAATGATTCGGTGAACCGCACGCTGCTACCTCTTGGGAAGAGATCTGATTTTTACCCAACCAATTTTTCTGGATTTTTATTTTTTTTTTAATTTTATTTTCCTCCCCACGTTTTTTTTTTTTTTTCCTTTCCTTCCACTGATGTGCCACTAAACTGTTTTGGAAGCTGGGATCATTTTCGAGGAAACTTTTCGGTTCGGGAAGATGGACCCCTTGGGCTGGTGCTTCCTCTACGGTCTCTTGGCTTGGTCGATGGGCATCAGCCACACCCAAGAAGGTGAGTGTCTGTATATGTGTGTGTTTGGGAGACACCTGTTGAGTGGGACCTGAGTTCTGTTGTGTTGGGTGAAGCCGGGAGAAACCCAGAGATGCCCACAAAATCGGAGTGAAGCAGGTGGTTAAAAATGTTGGCTGTGCAATTTCCAACTCAATTTGAAGAAGAGACCGGAAAACCGTTTGTCCAGAATGGCACATAGGGTCTCCTGCTTGAGCAAGGGGCTAGACTAGTAGACCTCCAAGGGCCCTTCCGGCTCTATTCTGAATTGAAATGAATTGAACTCTACTCAGTGCCCACTGCTTAGAGAGGAAAGAGGGGGCAACACGTCCATCAGCCTTGGCCTACTGGGCAGTGTTGTTGTTCAAGATTTCTCCCTCCCGCTTGACTGGTCCTCGACTTAACGACCCCCATCGGGGCCAGGCTTTCCGTTTGCTAAACCAGGCCGTTCTTAAGTGAGCAGGGGCCAAGGTTAGGACCCTTTTTTGACTTTTTCCTTTTGCCAAAGTTGTTAAGCGAACCTCCACGGTCATTCAATGAATCGCTGCAGTCGTTAAACGAATCCAGGTCCACTTCTCCCTTAACTTTGCTTCTCAGGAAGGTTCCCAACGCCCCAATTTTGATCAGGTGACCGTGGGGGATGCTGAGACGGTTGTAAGGGTGAGGATCGGCCCCAAGTCCCTTTTTCCAGGGACCTCTAACAGTCCATTGAACAAAAATGGTTGTAAGTTAAGGACTGCCCGAAGTACTTGGTGGATTCAATTTTTTGTGGGGGGGGGAGTGGGGGCAGGTTACCAACTCTGAACTCCAAGGCTGCTGGGAAGCTGACACTTTGTGTACACATCTGTGTAAAGCCACTTACAACTTCCTTGAGATAAGATTCAATTGATTGTGTCAAATACAGAGCTGTGGCTTGCGGGAACGTTAAGGCAGCGTACCTACTATTCTCCGTAAACGGAGAGAGTAACTAGGGTTTGTTGTAGATTGCAAAGATCCAATACTTAAGTTCAGTGTTTCAGGTAAGCCCAGCTATGGGGATTTGAATGGCTCATGTAAATGATGCTTGAGTGTGTCTTTTGCGATAGGTAACTCCCATCCATCCTGGCTTCTTCAAAGGACTAGGGGTGATATGATGGCCGTCTTCCAATATTTGAGGGGCTGCGAC